AAATATGAAACATAATATACACAAATAATAATAATAATAATAATAATAATAATAATAATAATAATAATAATAATGTTCATACCAGTGTTTGCTTACACATTTTCCACTGGACAATGTGCAAACACTTTGGAAAATGTAAGCAAACACTGGTATGAACATCGGCCAGCGCCGGTTACAGAAATAGAAGATGTCACCATTCTATGGGATTATACCATCCACACAGACAGAAAAATTGAAGCAAATAGGCCGGACATTATTGTCAAAAACCAGAAAGAAAAAAACTTGCCTACTAATTGATATGGCTTGTCCAGCGGATTGTAACATAGCAACCAAGGAATTTGAAAACTATCAAAATACAAAGACCTGGAAATTGAAATAGAAAAATGTGGAAATTGAAAACAAGAATAATACCAGTGGTAATAGGTGCACTTGGAATTATAAAAATGGAACAAAACAACACATTGAAAGAATCCCTGAAACCCCAGCTTAAGAGACATACAGAAAATTGTCTTATTAAGTACAGCACACACACTAAGGAGAACTTTGTCTATGTAACGCTAGCAACTTCATCGGAGATAAAAAAAAAAAAAAAAAAAAAATTAACATGAAATGTGGCCATAACAACACACCACGACCTGCCTTAGGTCTTTCTGCAGACTTGGTAGGTAGTGTGTCCATAGCAGAAATAATAATAATAATAATAATAATAATAATAATAATAAAGTTACAATAGAGAAAATTCGATGGCACATTTGGTATTAAACAAATCACTTCAATTTACCAATTGTCGTCGTCGAATAACAAAAAAGAAGTACGTTTTGGAACGTACTTTATGTTGGAGAGAAAACGTTAGAGAAAGATCAAGAGAATATATATATATATATATATATATATATATATATATATATATATATATATAACTTTTTTTTTTTGAACAGGGCGATTTTATCAGATGTGGAGAACTTGGAGAGGGGAATTAACAGGAGATAACTGATAACTGATATCCATTAGACATGGCACGTGGAACTAGAACAGTCTACCCCAGTGAGCGAAATAAAGGGTTCAGTTCGACATTCCAGCCAACTGAAGAAGGCCGGAGCGTACAACGGTCGAAACGTTGTAATAAATATGGCGACAAAGATGAGGACAATAGTCCGAATAATGTAAACATTTTTGGGTGAACAGCTTTTGTAGACTAGCATTTTCATACCTCTTCAAGTCGCTGCAATCGGAAAATATTGATTTATTATACTTTTTGGAGGGGGTCCTGTTCATAATATCGATAATACTTGCAAATTTGACCCCCCCATACACTTACAGAATTATCGGAAGACTTACTGTTGGCTTACCAATGTCAAGTTAGAAACTGGCTTACCAAATTGTTATATGCGTTTAAAAACATAATTTTTATTTTTACAAAAAATATATTTTAAATAGAGAACAAACAGAGATATGCATTTTATATGTTTCATTTTTAGTAAATATTTTAAATTAGCAATCGTCTGCCGAAATGGAATTAATTTTTTTTACAAGAAGATTTTTTGCTATTACATAACACATATTTGTTTTTATCTTACAAAACATTATTTTCAATGGAGAACAAACGGACATATGCATTTTAAGTTTCATTTTAAGAAAATATTTTAAATAAGCAATTGTCTGCCAAAATAGAATTATTTTTTTACAAGATTTTTTGCTAGTACATAACACATATTTGTTATATACATTTTCAAAGTAGCGCTACATTTTAAATTAAAGAACAAAAATTTACATAGATTGAAAAAAAAGTATGGAATAACATATTAATGATGTCAACAAATTTGCAAGATACGAGATTAGTAAATGCAAACCAAGTGCAGTTAACTCTGCAAAATTCAGGGATAGTTTGTGACAAAAAAATGCGAATACAGTGTAACCCGGTTATAAGAGACCCGGATATAAGAGAAACCCGTATATAAGAGAGATTTTCTCTAGTCCCAAATTAGAGCCTGTGTTTATGTATATAAAATAGACCAAACCCGGATATGAGAGAGATTTTCTCTGGTTCCAAATTAGAGCCTGTGTTTATGTATATAAAATAGACCAAACCCGGATATAAGAGAAGCCCGGATATAAGAGAGATTTTCTCTGGTCCCAAATTAGAGCCTGTGTTTATGTATATAAAATAGACCAAACCCGGATATAAGAGAAACCCGGATATAAGAGAGATTTTCTCTGGTCCCAAATTAGAGCCTGTGTTAATGTATATAAAATAGACCAAACCCGGATATAAGATAAGCCCGGATATAAGAGACTTCTTCTCCGGTCCCGACAACTCTCTTGTATCCGGGTTACACTGTATTTTTCGTTTCTGACAAATGTCCCGTTTTGAAGGAAGATTAAAAGAATGCTGCACTGCAAGAATTATTCTCATCAAATTTTTTCTCATTCCTTTTACGAGCGGATTACAGTATTTAAATAATTACAAAATAATTCTGTCCTGGGTATGACTATAAACTACATTCGCGTCCTGGGTAAGATGTTAAACTACGTCTAACAACAAGGCCTCTGATTCGGAGGTTTTGAGGAGCATGGAACCACTTCTTAATTGCTGATGTTCCCAGGTCCATTCTGACCCCTGGTGGTAGCACCTGTTAGGGTCCCAGCTATGGGCAAATAGTTAACCCCGAAACTAGGGTCAAAACACTATGAAAGTGTAAAAATAGGTTTTGATACCAGAAATATTTTAAAAAATTATTACCATCAATAAATTTTTGAAGAAAATAAACCTATTATCAGCAATACATTTTTGAAAAAAAATATTACCAGCAATACATTTTTGAAGGAAAAATATTACCAGAAATAGATTTTTGACAAAACAAAATATTACAGCAGTAACAATTTTGTCAGCATTAAATAACCCATTAAGGTTGAAATGCCGTAAAACAAAACAAACCAAACCAAAGCAAACAAAATAATTAAGTGGATATAAACAAAGGGTACCGGTGCCGAAAATGAAATCGGCTATACGAGTTCAAGTTCGGCGATAGTCTGTTGCGCTCAATTTCACGCAAATAGTCTGCCCCCCCCTATCTTCTTTCCACCAACTATATTAAATACCCGGGTAAACAGATCTCTCTAGAAAGAAAACTGTGATTTCAAATCGTTGAAACCGTAACGGGAATTCACGCGGCTCTCTTTCTCAAGAATGCACGGCAGTTCACAAAGAGTCATGATCACCTGCGATCGAAATTTTGAAATCTTAACCTTCAATAGATTATGAATAAATCAAAAGTCTTTTGGATTGGGGTGCCCCACCTGCCATAAAACGAGACCCCCTGCTAATTCCATAGAATCGAATCAACCTCCGTATCCCAAAAAGTAATGATAAAGTTTCACTTAGAGAGCTTCTTCCTTGGAAGTTCTACTTTTTGGAACAAACTCCGAAATTGATGTTATCCTGAAACAACATTCTTAAACTCTTCGTGTCAAAGGTTAATGATTTGTCCCGGAAAGGTATATATTTGTTCGAAGTGATTTTGGACTACTGTAACTGAGTAGAACAATCTAGCAGGTAACTGTAATGGACTGGTCCTCGTCGTAGTGGTAGACAATAGGCGTAGACAATAGGCGAAGACAATAGACGTAGCCAATAGGCGTTCACATCAGTCTGTATTTATGACTGACACCAGCCAATCATATTACTGTGAGGGGAAACCCAGGTGTATGCATATTCATTACATCAGTTAATAATTATCGAAAATACCCTATCGTCATAATCTTCACTTTCTATCACCGTCCTATGGCACAAATCACTCATTATAACTATTTAAAAAATAGCATTCTACCTTGTATGGCTGTTAAGTCTTTTATCGGGTGATTTTTAGCATAAAAAAGTTTATTGAGAACAAAGGAATGTAAAGAAATGAAATATTGAGGAAATTTTCAACGCCCCAAAAATATTTGAGTGATATATCTGCTTTGAATGTAATATAATTTCTTCTATCCAATCTAATCCTCTAGCTATGGGTTAAAAAGTAAGATGTGTATCAATAAGTCATTATTATCTCCGAAACATTTTTACAATCTAAATATATCTATCTATCTATCTATCTATCTATCTATCTATCTATCTATATATATATATATATATATCTGGCATTAAATAACATGAAAAAGGTTGATAAGCCGCAAAAAACAAAAAACAAAAAAAAAATTATTCAATCGATCTTATAAGTAAATGCTAAATAGATTTACATCCAGCGGGAAATAGGTTACTCGATAAGCCAATGAACCGATTCTGTTTGCATCTAGACGACATAATTGAAACTGCGCAATTTTTTCTACAATCTGTGTCGTTTGCCAAAGTCCATTATCGGCTGATGTAGTCGCTGAGACGAGTGGTGATACCACTGGTCGGCTGTTTTTCTAGCGTCGTGGCGTAGAAAGACAAGAACAGTGTTCTGGCATGTGCAAAACTAGTTATTCCTTGATTCGGATTAAAAAAAAGTTTACAAAGAAAATCAGCGATGTTGAAGATTGCCTTTAAGAACTGCTTATTTTCTTTTTGCCGTTCTTTCACGATCACAATAATTGATTTTTCGAAAATCTTGTGGGTCTGTGAACACAGAAGCACTCTTTTTCCCCAACTCACGACTATGAAAACGAAACTTATCGACGAATATTATCAAAGATGGCGCCACTTTGCAGTGAAGGATATTTTCGCTTTTAGCCAATGGAGCCAAAGTTTTCTTCCAATGGTAATGGAGGCGAGGAATAGGAAGAAAAAAGCAATAATAATGACAGCATGAGAAAGGCATTCTTGAAATCGAAGCGGGATTTTGGCGTTTGGAAGAAAACTAAGAAAGTATAAAATGTAATGTTTGTTGAAGAAAGATGGTTTGAAAAACACAATATTCGTGCTTTCGTTGCTATCAAGAGGAAAGAGATAAAGAATTATGGGATAGAATATACCAAAAAGATAAAGAGCAAACATTGGGAAAATATCTTCACATACAAAGTGATATCTATCTATCTGTCTGTCTGTCTATCTATCTATGTATCTATCTATGTACATAGTGACGCCTATTGTAGAACGTTAGCAACAAGGGAGTCTTCATAAAAGATTCCCTAGTTTAATGAGTTTGAACCTTTTTCATTATTAAAACAGTTGAAAAATAGTCGGTTCCTTGTATTGCTTCAGAAAATACCTTAACTCCCTCTGCCAGGCTCTGTTTACTGTTGTATTTGGGTAGGTGTTGCACAGGCTTACTGTTCAGCCCCGAGAGAATTTAAAAAAGCGTACACGGCCTTGAGGGTGATGAATTATTCTCCACCCTGCTACTCTTATCCCACAGATCAAAAATTGCTAACCTCTCACTAATTTATTGCTATTACTACGACAAATATTAAAACGAGTTACATTTCATTAGTCTGACCAGGTCAGACCTTCACAGCTAGGTCCCCCCCCCCAACCATTCCATGTCCACGGTGGGAAATTATTCTCATTTCCTTTGTGTTCCTTTTGTAAGGAGTAAGTTTTAATCAAACAACTTCTTCTCCAGAACTGATACCTTGTGGAAAAGGCTCCCAAGAAGATGCTTCCTGGTTACTAAACTACGCTTTTTTTACTACCATGTTCATGTGGTCCTGTAGTTTTTTTCTGTGCACGCGATCAACGCAGTGTCATCTGCGTATCTTATACAGTTAAGACTACGCCTCATCTATATAGTGAACCCTGGTGATGTCTACAGCTCCATTAAGTGTTTCGTTTTATGTCGTATCTGGGTCCCCAGGCTACTACATAAAATGGTATCAACAAAAAGTGACGGCATTATTTTCTAAGTCCTTTTATTAGGAGAGAGTCGTGGCAGTTGTTACAGTTTTTTGTGTATATATACTATGTAACTAGTGAGTTAGTCAAAATGACTTAATTCCCTTTATAGTCTACCAATAGAAGGTTGACCAATCAGAAGCCGCTGAACATTGTATCCGTCGTGTATAAAGTCGGCCATCTTTGTTTACCCTACCGGAATCACCAGAACCAACTTGTCAGGCGAACATGCCAGAAGGAAGTACTACGCTCTGCTAGCTTGCTGCGATAACCACTGCGAACCTGCACTACGCTTTCCTACTGTCTCCGAAATATTCACTGTCAACCTCTGGATTCTATACTCGAAGACGACCATCATGAATTTGTAACAGCAGTTTGGATTCTAAGAGGCAGCGGGAGGAATTAGGTCCCTGGAATGCATGTTATCCCGCCGGTTGGTCTTAGTCGATCTTTAACTTGGATGTGGGAGGTGCATCGACGCTTCAAAATTCCTGCGACCCTCGGTTGAATTCGCGCTGTTTGGGACTTATATCCAAAACCAAGACAAAGGCAATCTATCATTGTCGGAATACCACACCCACGTGGTACTCCGGTCAATCGCTGGCCATTCTGGTCGTGGCTTTCGCATTAACATAGGATTGCCTTGCGGTAGTCGGTGAATAGATCTAGAGACATGACACATCTTTTGTTTTATGTCATCTGGAGTTCTGTGGGTGATTCACCCATGGGCGGAATGGTCCGAAAACAGAGTGGTCAACAACGCCGTAATTTGTTTTTGAAGCTACCTTTTTCTAGCCTTTAACTGAAGTAGGACCCTCAAGACAGCTGGTGGTTGGAATGGTAACGGTGAGAGCGTTCCTGCACGCCAGTGGGTCTCCCACACTGTATTTCTGGGGTTTCAACCATCTCTGTGATCCCTCACTGTATGACTCTGAGCCAAAAGGTATCGAGTTTCCATGGTGTGCCACAGGGAGGCAATGAGAATCACGAACCTGTACAGTCGTAAAGCCATCAGAAAAGGACTTATGCACTCGGCCCACCTTTTCCCTCCGAAGATCTTGATGATTGCCGTAGCTGCAAGCGAGTAAGACAAGCAGACTACACTACACTATGCCACAACATTACAGACTAGAATCCCCTATTTTACGAACCTTTCTATTTTTCTGTACATACTCAATTTGCTTTATATCCGTATACAGGCTGCTTACGCCCAGCATATATTCTGGAATATTCTAGAATCTCTTCCAAATAGATTTAGTTTCCTAACAGTTCAATATATATCATAAATTTGGGTTAATGATCCCGACGGAATCATACATAAAGGATAATTGGAAAAAAAAAAGAAAGAAGCAAAGCGTTCATGGAAATATAATGTTTCGAAAACATATCCGATAATGTATTTCTCCCATTTTCGTTTTTTATCTGACCGGAGACGGAAAAAAGAATTGCGTGGTGCATGTATTTGTGTCTTTATAAAAATAATGAGATCATATATTTTTTCCACTATGGCGTTGCTCGTCACTAGAAAAGAAAGAAAACGAGTGACTTATTTAAAAAAAAAAAAAGGAGTTTAACATTTTATATTCTTTGTTTTAAGTGGCCTAATTTAAAGGTAGAACTCCATCAGAATGGGAAGAAAATATAAAGATGAAAGATAAGTTTTATCCATGCGTTCTCCATGTTGGCAATATGATATAAATTTGGGTAAATGATTCCGAAAGAGTTATACATTAATGATAACTAGAAAAATGTTCATGAAAGTATACTGCTTCGAAAAAATATCTGATAATACTTTTCGGCTATTACGAAACATATTAAAAAAAACGGGTGAAGCAACCGGTTTCGCTCCCGCTCTTCAGGCTTCAACGGGAGATTTAATTTAAAATTAAACACAATCTACAATAAAAGGAAGATATGGGAGGAGAAAAAAATAGCAAAAGGAACAACGTGAGTGTTTGTTGGGGCTCGCTGACATTTGTCTCTAGTTCCTTTTGCTATATTTTTTTCTCCTCCCACAACTTCCTTTTATTATACATTTTTCTGTATTAATTTTAAATTAAATTTCCCTTGAAGCCTGAAGAGCGGGAGCGAAACCGGTTGTTTCGCCTGTTTTTAATATGTCGTAATATTAAGTTTTATACTTTTATTTCGATCATATATATATATATATATATATATATATATATATATATATATATATATATATATGCTTTCATTAGTCTACTCAAATCTACCTATTTATATCCATCTATCTGCATATAAATATGGCTGGTGGATAATTATCAGACGTTTTTTTAAACAATCTATGAAAAAAAGAAACATAACAATTCAACAATGACATTTTTAAATAATTATATATATATATATATATATATATATATATGTATATATGTTGTGTCCGTGATCTTATTTAATATTATTAAGTGTTGTTCTTTTTTTTGTTTTTATTAGTAAGACTTCCATTATTTTTAGCCATTTTTCGTATGTAGATGATGCTATTATATTAGTGTTGTCAGCAAGTATGTTACGAGTAGTGTTCGGTAGGTCTCCATGAATATTGAAATGAGATCTAATTGAGCTATGGTCAGAAAGGTGTAGAGTGAGTCTGCATGTCAAACATGTTGTAGTGTGGCCTATATAATTATTTACGAATTTTGATTGACCAGGAATACAATTTCTTAATGGGCATCTAAATTCGTAAATAATATTTGCCTTATTTAATATTCTTCTAAGGGGAGAATTAATTTTTTTAACTATAAGGTTAGAGGTTTTAAATTTTTTGTAATAAAATTGCTACCTAAACACACACACACACACACACACACACACACACACACACACACACACACACATATATATATATATATATATTTACTTTATTTTAGAATATTATATCAAAATATTTAAAAACACTACACAAATACAATCATGTTTCGATGCGTATTACCACGTCTCATTAGGTGTTAACGCGTTACATGTATTAATTTATATATATATATATATATATATATATATATATATCTTTGCTCTGACTAACCACATTGAGCACTATTACACATCATGTATGAATTTAAATACTATTTATCTGCTTGCCCGGTTATGCACAACGGCACGCGCGTATACGCTTGCTTATATCTGCTCGTTTGATATATATATATATATATATATATATATATATATATATATATATATATATGTACAGACTGTTTCGCTGTATCACAGCTCATCAGTATTGTTAGACGTCCGGTTACGTCGAGCTAGAATCGAAACCTTGCTGAATGGAGGCCAGTTGGAGATTCTACCCCTAAGCCGTTGTCGCACGGCAGGAATGAAGTTAAATTAAAGCGTATGTATTTTTAGATATATTCAGTGACTGAGGGAACTCGATTCGCTTTACCGAAGAGACTGTCATTATTAGTTGTAATAGTCACTGTTTACAAACTATTGAAAGAATTTTTTTTTTCAATCTAACCAAAATCATCTGTGTTCTTTTTCTTTTTCTTAATCCCTTTCATCACCTTTGTTCCTGATTATCCCATAACGTGACAATATGAATTCTGTCAAGAAAGGTAAATTTTATATTCTCACAGTATGGGATAGTCCATTATATCTCTTAAAAAAATTAACTACCATTAAAGTCTACCATTCTTGGTAGATGTTATATTGTCATATATATATATATATATATATATATATATATATATATATATATATATGTGTGTGTGTGTGTGTGTGTGTGTGTGTGTGTGAAAAGTGTCATTACAAATGTCAGTAGTCAACTTCAACACGTGTAAAGACAAGATAACCGCGGCATAAAATCCAATAGTCAAGGCTAGCAGTTATAAAAGTCAAGAATAAGCTGGTTTTCCATGATAGTTGTAAATTTCTTTATTTCTAACGGATTCTTGAACAATCCATCTTTATTTTAGGGATTTACACTGTGTGGAATTATGGTGTGCTTGGCATCGAATTTATATCGGGCGTGGGAGGAATTCACAGTTTAATAAAATCCGAATGAACATCAGTAATTAGAACGCCATATTTTGCTCCATCGTCAAACTGTTTATATGATATAAATAAAATGATTGATGAATTTTAACATCGGACAAGTTTAATAAATAATTATGATAAATAGTTTCATGACTTCTGACACCGAAAAGTAAAAACAGATCAGAGAAAATTATTCATTGGTCCTGTCATTTTTTGTCTTCACGTCTACCTTTTGTGTGTGTGTGTGGTGCTGGTG